GAGGGAGGGGAGGGACCAGGGTTCACGATGGGCAGTCCTTGGAGGGCGTCGGCGGCGCCACAGATCTCGCCCTCGCGGCCGTGCGGCCCTGGCCCGCCGCCGCAGCTCCGCGGCCGCCTGGCGCGGCGCCCATGCCGCGGGCGAGCCTTGTGGCGCGGAGCCGCGCCATTGGCCCAAGCCGCCCCAGCGTGGCCACGCGCGGAGGGTGGTAGTCCAGTGGCAACGATACCGGTGTTCTCGATGAAAACGCCCCTCGGCAACGTTCAAAAGGGGCCGCGCGAGCTCGCCCCCCACGCCCCCAGTTTCAATGTTCATCCTGTCGCGCAGGAAGCGTTTTGCAAAGAGTGGGCGTTGATTTCGAAACGATCCGGCCCCAACTTTGAAATTGGGGCCCGGGGTTGGACACGCTTCAACGAGAAGTACGGATGGGCGTTTTTTTCGAAAAAGCACGGTAGGGGGGGGATAGGCACAGGAGCCCAGCATAGGGGCTCGGCCCCCTATGACAGGGGGGGGAGGCATCGACCCCCAGTCGCCCGTTGACCGTGGATGGGGGTCTGATAGACCAGCCCTGCCCAAGAACGTGCGGATCCGCTATCGGGAGCCCATCGCCGATCTATCGGCGATGCATCGCCGATTCCAGGTCGATGTTCCCCCCTATGCCAGTCCCCCCCTACCGTGGCCCTTCAGAAGAAGGGGGTGGAGGAGGAGGAGGCGGAGGAGGAGGAGGAGGCGGAGGAGGAGGAGGAGGAGGAGGAGGAGAAGGAGAAGGAGGAGGAGGAGGAGAAGGAGGAGGAGAAGAAAACAATAAGACAAATACCGAGGAGGAGAAGACGAGACTCCAGGAGGCAGCTGGAGCTTGGATGCTTCCAAACGACCTCAGAGGCCTCAGGAGGCCCGCGAAGGCGCAGGAGGCTCCAGGATGCCACAAGATGGTATCCCCTCCTGGTCGATCCGACGGGAAGGAGGGAGGGAGGGAATTGTGGCGGCCAAGAGAGGGTGATGACTAGGGATGGGGGGAATATCTCGGCAACCCCTAGGGGCGCGAAGACCGCGCTTCGCGCGTCGCGGCCTGGGCCAGAGCGGCTGCCCTTCTCCAGGAGGGGCGACGCGAGGGCGCGAGGGTGCGAAGATCATCGCGCGTCACGCAACGCGGGGCTCGATGCGCGAAGTTAGAGGACCTAGGATATCATGGCCGAGGCCACGATCCATTTTTATATTTCTGCTGTGTTTTAATATCTGGAAGCAGAGCCACATGGTGAGCGTGCCGCGCCCTCGTGCCGGTGGCATTTGGGCTCAAGTGCAGAGGTGGGGCAGTCCGATGCCCCTCGGTGCCCGGTTTGCGACAGAGCTGCTCCAGGGGGCGTCCCAGGCCGCAGTCGGCTGGGCAGCCCGCGAGCAGTGCCCTGACTGCCACTGCGCCCCGACCCTCATCACCTGCGGGGCTGGGCAGGAGGCGGCGCGCCTCGACGGCTTCCCCGAGGCCGCAGGCAGCTGGCCTGCGTCGGCGGCCCTCCTCGCCCTGATCGTCGGAGCCGGGATCGGCGCAGCACCGGTCCGGGCACCGTGCCCGCCGCCGAGGAGCGCGGCCGCCCGCCTCGCGGCCGACGCCAACGAGCTGGCGTGAGCTCAGGCGGCCGCGGGGAGGGCCCGCCTGCGGGCCTCTCTGTGCGACGTCGGCTGCCGCTGCGGCCGCGGCTGGGCACCCACTGGGGTGGTGCTCGGCCTGATCGAGGGCGACTTCGTGCTGATCAGATATCGAGTGGGCGGCGCCAGAGTATGGCATGAGCGGCTGATTCTCTGTTTTCGGCCGACGGCGCCGTTCGGCTCGGGGATCCGGGGCCCGAATGGGCACGACTGCGTGGAGACCATATGCAGGCCGGCGTGGGCGTGGTCGAGTACGCGGCGCCAGCAGGTGCGGCACAGGGCGGCCAGGCTCCAGCCACAGGAGCCGATCAGCTGCATCGATCCCGAGCGCTGCCCCTTCCTGCGGGGGTCGCCGCCGCGCCAGCGTCGGCGACGTGCTGCTCTCGGTCTCACCGCAGGTCCAGCCGTCGCCCTCAACACTGCGGGCCGCGCGCTGGCTCCCCCAGCCGGAGCCGCTCCTGCTGTGGGCGGCGCTCCGGCTGCGGCCCCTGCAGCTGTCGGTGCAGGCCCTGCTGGGCTATAGCGGCCGCCCTCGGCGGTGGGGCCGCCGCCCCGGCCGCGGCGGCCAAAGCCCTCAGGCTAGGAGGAGGAGGAGGAGGAGGAGGAGGAGGAGGAGGAGGAGGAGGAGGAGGAGGAGGAGGAGGAGGAGGAGGAGGAGGAGGAGGAGGAGCAGCGGCGGCCCCTGGTCCCAGCAGCCCCGCCTGCGGCCGTCGGTGGTGGTGAAGCCTTGGAGCCAGCCGCGGCCGCGGCCCCTGCAGTCGGGTCCCAGCCGCTGCCTGGGGGGCCGCCGGGCGCCGCCGCGGGCGCCGCGCACGGTGGGGGCGGCGCCGTTGCACCTGCGGGCGCTGCCGTCCTAGCTGGCGCCGTGGCCGCGATTGCAGGAGCGCCGGGCGGCGACGCCAGGGTCCAGAACATCGTGCTCGACCAGCAGGGGGAGGTTCATCGACTTCCGCTCGGGCGTCGTGAGGCCCCACAGGCTGCCGTGGGTCGACTGGCCCTTGAAAGGGCCCCGCGCTTTCTTATGGGTGCTAAATTTCATCTGCCGCGTCGGCGGGGCGCCGCTCGTTCGCCAGACCAAATGGAGGGCAGAGGCTCTCTTAGGAGGCCGAGGACCCAGGTGTTGCCACACACCTCCTGTGCTGCGAGCTGCTAGAGCACGGCGTGTGCCACGATCAGCTGCGCGCGACGAACCTCGCGCCCATGCATCTGATCGGGTGGACCCTTCAGACCCAGGGGGAGCTGCATCGCGACAGGTTCGCCCCATTGACCGAGTGCGCCTCGGAGGGTGCGCTGATGTCGGGCGCCCAGGACACGATCGGCAACCCGTGCGTTGCGCCTGCCTTCCGCGACTGGCTCGCGGCGGAGAAGGGTCGCGAGGCGGCCCTAGCCAAGGAGCGACGCAAGGCGAGCGAGCCTTGGCAGCCGGCCATGCCACTGACGATGGCGGCCTCGGTGTTCGCGGGCGCGGCGGCCGTGGAGGTCGCGGCCGAGGCGGCGGGGGCGGCCGCGCCGCCCAGGAGACCCATGATCGAGAAGAGCCGGGGGGGGGGGCAGACGGGCCAGCCCCTTCCCAGGACCCTCTGGCGGCTGCCGCCGCCGGCCCTCGGCGGCCGCGATGTCCCCGGCGCCGCGATCTGTTCCCGTTGCCGATCCAACCAGCCGAATCTACGCGAGAGGCCCGGTCAGCTGGCCGTCGATCAGCCCGTCGCAGCAACTTCGCAGCTCGTCGCGCCGAGCGCGCGAGTTCGAGCTGCCACTACTGCATTGAATTTACTCTATGGCTGTGTGTCCTCGCCCTTGCCAGCAGCGCGCGACGGGCGGCGCCGGGCCATCGTGCGAGCGTCAGACAGCGTGTCAGACAGCGCCGACGAGCTCGGCGCTCCACCGGCGGATTCTGGCAACTCGGGGCTGGCCCAGGACGGAGCCCTGAGGGAGCTCCTCTCGTGCGCCAGCCCGCGCGGGTCTGGCGCCGCCACGTCGCTCCCCTACGCGCGCGACCGAGTCGCTTGGCCTTCTGATGGGTCCTCGCTTGTTTGGGTTGCTGACTTGGTGCAGCCGCAGGAAAAGGCCTGGCTGGAGGGGTGACTAAACCATGTGCTGCGAGATTGGCAGTCTGCGGCGGACCTGGCGAGATCCGAGTGCCCCAGGGGGTCCCACTGCGATCCTGCCCTGTTTCGTGGCGAGCACACTTATGGTCATTTTTGATGCATATGTACCGCAGACAGATGATAACATGTTCGGCTGACGCTAATCAGCCCCGCACCGTTGGCGTCTTTTTCGCGCCGAAGAAGTCGGGGGCCTTGCGGATCATCTTCGACGCCCGCGCTGCCAACTGCGCCTTCCTCGACTCTCCAGCTGCTCGGCTGCCTTCCGCCGCGGCCTTTGGGTCCGCTGCGACGCCAGCGTGCGTCTGCGCTCGCGTGACCGGAGTGCGCCTTCTACGCGCTGGGCCCCCGGGCGGCATGGGGGCATATGTTCGGGCTGCCTCCGGCCCGGGAGGGCGTGCTTCAGGAGGCGGGCCTGGTCGACCTGGACGTGGGCCCGCCCGCCGCGGTCAGCCCGCAGGTCGCGGCCCTTCCGGTGGGCTTTTTGTGGGAGCTGTACCTGCGCCAGTCAGCTGCCAGCGCCGTGCTCGCCGATGACGGGCGCGAGAGGTCCATGAAAGGCCTCGGGCGGTCAAGCCGGAGCGGGCGTCACCGACGGCGCGCCCGTCGGCGCTGGCGCCCACGTGGACAATATCCTGGCCTTCGGCGCCAACAGGGCCGCGGTCGACCGCGCCGTGAGCACGTGTGCCTCGAAGTTCAGGGCTCGAAGGCTGCTGGCCCATGAGATCGAGCCCGCCTCGCTGGGCGCCGGGTTCTTGGGCGCGTCGCTGAAGGGCGCAAAGTCATTCGCATCAAGCCCCGGAATTTCTTGAGGCTGTCCGCAGCGATCTCGGGTCTCTTGAGGCGAAGCTGGCGTTCGGGCTATGTGATGAGAGCAGTGCTGGGCCGCGTCGCCTGGGCGCCCATGCTGCGCCGCGGGGTGCCGCGGTGCCCCGCAGCTCCTACAGCTTCGCCTCGGCCTGCGGCGAGAGGCAATGGCGGATCGGGCTGTCCGTCCGAGAGGAGCTGGTCACCATCAGGGACTTGCTGCCCATCTTGGCCTGCGACCTGTCCACGGTTTGGCACGACGCGCTGGCCGTCCGCGACGCGTCACCCTTCGGCCTCGGCGCGATGCGACGCCGCGCCCCTGTTGCCGCCTGTGCAGCCATAGGCCAGGGGTCGGAGCGGTGGCGCTACAGGGTAGACGGCGGGCACAGGCCCGCGCGCGCTCGCTCCAGGAGGCGGGCATCAGTACTGCTAGCTAGCCCTTCGCAGGAAGTCGCGACCTCAAAACTAGGCGGCCCTAGCCTTGCGGGCGCTGCTCCGACGACCCCATACTGCGCGGCATCTGGGAGCGCCCCGGTAAAGGACTCTGCTGGCCTTTACGGGACTCGCTCTATGGCTCCCTCAATGGAGGCCCGCCAGGACCATCGGGGCTCGGGAGGCTACTGCGTGGACCCGCGCACAGCGCTCGCAGGGGACACTAAGGGAGCTCGACGAGGTGCCTGCCCATGTCGCTCGGGGGCCCACATGGAAGAGCGTCTCGGCCCAGTCGGCAACGCCAGGTGGACGCATTTTGTGGAGGGGGAGGCGCTCGACACGTCGTATCGGCATCAGTTTCGAAATCGTAAGGCACGTGGTAGACGCATCGTCGCCATCGTCGATGACCTTCCGCTCGCACTCGCACGCGGAAAAGGGGGGGCTTGGCCCCGCCACGCGGGGTCTTGCTTGAACCAGGTGCGCGCCTTATCCCTCGTCGCGGGCTCGAGGCCATGCGCGAGGTGGGTCGCTTCAGAGAGGGGCCCCATCCCATCCCCTCAGCCGCGATAAGCGGGGCTGGTTCAGTGGGCGCCGCCATCTCAGCGATACCCGCATCCTGCGCCGCCAGCGTGCTCCTGGCCCTTCTGCTGGCGCAACTGGCGGGGGCCGCAGGGGCGACGCCGCGCCGCGCCGCGCCGTCCAAGTCGGCGCGCGCGCGGGCGCGGGCCCAGCGCGCGAGGGCGGCTGCGGGCAGGTCGACTTCGGGCTAGCTGACGCTGCTGGAGCAGCTGGCTATGCGTGCCTCGACGGAAACCTCCCGCCGCCAGATCTTGTAGTTTTTCATGGACTAAGGCCTACCGGGTCTGGGGCCTGCTGCTCCACGCATCGGACCGCTCCCAGCCAGGCAAGACGGGCTTCTTCGACGAGTCGACCATGTTCGACCTCGATCTGTACTTAGCGCCCGTGCTGATGGCGCTCCGGACGAGTGGCGGGCCTGGCGCGCCGCTCCAGCGGGACTTCGCGCTGTCGGGCCTCAACAAGGTGTTTGGGCTTGCGGCGGCTGCGCTGGGCATCTCCCAGCTTCGCCACCACCTGCGTGGGACGTGGCATGGGGGGTGAGCGACGACCTCTTGGCGCAGAGGAGGGCGCAGGAGCAGGTGTTCCGCCGCGCCCGCTGTGCTGCCCCATCCTCGATGAGGGGATGTGCGAAGGAGACGGCCTTCCTGCGCGGGCTCGAGGGGGCGCATTCGGACGTGTGCGCGCTGGGCGACCTCGTCGCGCAGAACTTCTGCTTGCTGCTCGAGAGGGGCTTCGTCGTCGCCGGCCTGATGGCCCAGGCGCCAGCGCGGCTGGCGGCGGTCCTTGCCGGACCCCCAGCAGGCCCCAGGAGGGCGAGGAAGCGCCTGGGCCGTCGGCGCTGACGCCGCCGCGAGCAGCCGGGCCCGAGCGAGGCCGGGCCGTTCGCGACCACCTCAGGCGCCGTTTCAGGACAGCCGTTGAGCCGGGGCGACCTCGCACGCAGTCGGGTGGTGCTTGAGCTCTTCTGTGGCTGCGCCCATTTCGCCGCGGCGGCTGGGCGGCTAGGGCTCTCGGCACTCGGGCTGGCCATCGCCCAGTCCGCCTTCGAGGACCGCGCCGACCCCACTTTCGAGGAGGCGATCGCTGGTTGGCTGGTCAGCCGCGCGGTGGGTGGGTGCCGTGTTTCCAGAAGGCGCTGCGCTCGAGGGCTGGCCCAATGGGCTTGGCCGAGCTCTCGCCATCTGAGCGGGCCAGGCTGCGCGCAGGCAATGCGATTTCTTCAGCATTCGATTGTGCGTGAAGCCAAATATTCCTGTCGTGCTTGAAAATTCTTGTAGCTCGCTAGCTGGCATGCCAGAGCCTTCTCTGCCTTGATAAAACAAAAATCAGGCAATGCTCGCGCGTGTGGAGTTTGACCAGCGTCAGTACGGAACCCCGTTGCAGAAGCGCACCAGGTTCGCAGCTTGGGGCGTTTGCTCTCTTGGCGGTATCACTCGGCTATGCGCAGGGCGGAGAGGCGCATGCTTGGCGCATTGTCTTGTCCGGTGGAAGCCCCTTCGGCTGTAAATATGCAGCGCTGGCGGCCGCCGATCCTCGCCGTGTTTTTTTTTTTTTTTTTTTTTTTTTTTTTTTTTTTTTTTTTTTTTTTTTTTTTTTTTTTTTTTTTGTTTTTCTTTTTTTTTGTCTCTTCTTCTTCTTCTTCTTCTTCTTTTTTCTTTATATATATAAACAAAATTATAGACAAAATAATACATTTTGTTGTTGTGTAAACTTGCCTCGCGAAGCTAACGGGAAACGCCGCGCTTGAAAGTTCAGCAGGCCATGGCAGAGATCTCACGTCGATAAGCTTTGCAACATTTCAGGCACGTCTCTGACACAAATGCGCACATCGAGCTGCCCTTGCTCTATAGGTTTACGCCACATCCGCTGACCCCTCTTTAACCTACTGCGCCTCCAGGATTGGATTCCACGAGGCTTGTCCGAATCGCGGCGCGGCGCTCGACATCGTTCCTCTTGCCTTGTTGCTGTTAGAGACCCACGCTTCGTCCCGATCCGTTCCTGGCGGCCCCCGGCGGGCTCGGAGACGGCTTCCCGCTGCACGGCTCGCCGCGGCTAGGCGCGGCTGGCTTCGAGGGGGGCCCAGGGTCTGTTGTCTGCCACCTCTCGGGCAGAATTCCGAAGCCAGGGCGAGGACAAGTAGCGAGAATGCGTCAAGTTCAGGGTGGTGTGCGGCACGCTCTGGGATGTCCGTTGGGATCTCCTGGCGAGGATTCTCGCGGGCCTCTTCGAGGCAGTTTCGAAGGGTATTGGGGGCTGTTTGGGGTTTCTGTTGGGCCTCTCGGGGGTTCCTTGGGGCTTCTTGGGTGCCTCATGGGGGCCTCTTGGGACTGCTTGGAGGCCTCTTGGGTCCTCTGGAGAGCTTCGTTGGGCAGAGCGCTGGAATTCGTGGTTCGTGGTCCCTCTCTTGGGCCCTTCTTAGGGCCGTTCTGGGGCCCCCTTGGGCCGTCTAGGGCGCCTCTTGGGCCACGTTGGAGTTTTTGTTTGTCTTTGGGGCCTCCAGGGAGCCTCGTGGGCCGTCTTGGGGTGGTCCTGCGGGCCTCGCGGGGGCTTCGTGGACGGCTTTCAACGCCGTGAAGGCTAACAAGTTGGATATGCTGAAAATGCACGTGTTCCCAAAGGAAATTTCAAGATTTTGGTTTCTTCGGGTTTCTTGGGAAGCCTCTTAGAGGTTTCGTGGGGTGTCTTGGCGGCCTCTTGGGCCGTTTTGGGCTCATCTTGGGCGTACTTGAACGATCTTTCGGAGACTTTGGGTTCTCGCGGGCCGTCTTGGCGGCTTCTTGGGAGGCGTCAAGTGCTGTCGTGCAGCTCAAGAGCGAGCCCAGGGGGCCCAGACCGCCCCGGGTGAGTTCGGTCCAGGGCCACCCTCGGCCGGGGGATTGGGGTCAAAATCCTATAAAATCCCGGTTTGGGGTCCCTGGGGGGGATTATTGGGGGGGCCAATTTCACGCGCCTGGAGACCCACAAGGGGTCGGCGGATTTTTACGGCCAGCCTGTCTTCCCGCCAGCCTGTCCACGTTTTCCTTATGGGGTTTGAGCCCTCATCGTCTGTATAGGCCTTCGCTCTGGCGCGCACTGGAGGACGCCTGAGCCCTCGTGTCCGGCAGCCTCCACTGTCTCATTGAATGCTGGTACTGGGCTCGGTCTCCACACGTATTGCTGTGAAAATAGCGGTGCGCCTGATCGTCCATCGATGCCTCTTTCTCATCGAGTCCGTCCTGGCCCGCGTGTCTCTTCGGCGGGCTGCTGTGTCTTAACAGCGGGAAGCAAAGCCCTTTGGTGAGCATGACACACCCTCATGCCGCTGGAATTTGGGCTCAAGTGCGCCCACCCACTTACGCCAACCCACACTTGAATCATCTGGGCCTTCATCGTCTGTATAAGCCTGCGCTCTTGCGCGCACTGCAGGACGCCTGTGCCCTCGTGTCCGGCAGCCTCCAATGTCACATTGAATGCTGGTGCTTGGCTCGGTCTCCACACATACTGATGTGACAATAACGGCGCGCCTGATCGTCCATCGTCGCTAGCTTTTTTCATCGAGTCAATCCTGGCACGCCTGTCATTAGGGTGAATTTGATACACAGGTATGTGCGTATGCATGTATGCATATATGCATGTAAGTATGTAAGTAAGTAAGTAAGTAAGTATGTATATATGTATACATATGTAAATGTGTATGTTTATGCATCCCTGTCTGTATGTGTGCGTGTATGTATGCATGCATGCATGTATGCGTATATGTCGGTATGTATGTGGGCATGGCACATATGTAGGCAAGTGTGTAAGTATGCAGGTACGCATTATTGCATATATGTATGTACGCATGCATGTATGTGTAAATGTACGTATGCATTGATAGGTTAATGAATGTTTATATGTATACACATTTTCCCAAACGCCATGGCCCCCTTTTCGTTTTTTGACGCACCCCCTGACCCACACTCGCCCGCGCACATGCCTTCAGCTATGATTCGCGACTCCCTCGCTTGGACGCCGCCCTCGTGGGCGCCCCCGGCTTGGACGCCCCGGACAGGCCAAGAAGGCTCTGACCGATGTGATCAGTAGGATCGAAATTGGTACGGACAGAACGGGGGCAAAAACCGGCAGTGTCGGTGCCGCTGCAGACGCGGTCTCTTTGAAGCAAACTACCGCCCTCCCAGAAGCGATTGTTGTAGTTGGTTGTTTGCTGTTGGGCGCCTTTTTGTTTTCGTACCCGTTCTGGGCGCGCCGAAGGAAGCCACGGGGCAGGAAGGAGAGGAGGCAGGAATCTCGGTCAGCCCTGGGGGCGCGGAGACTGTTGCTTCGCGCGTCGCGGCCTTTTCCAGGGCAGCTGCCCCTCTTCCAGGGAGCGGCGCGGGGGCGCGACGAGCCGCGCGCTGCGCAGAGGGGGGAGCTCGATGGCCGGGGGGACGGGCGAGGGCAGCCAGAGGGAAGGCATCGGGCAGGCTGCCACGGGGTGCAGTTTCAGATCTGCTCGAGGAGGTGCCCAGCCACGCGCAGAAGGGGGCCAGGGGGAGGGGGGAGGGTTTCCGAAAAGCACCCCTGCTTCTCGGAAGGCGCGGGCCTCGCCTGCAGATGTAGGGCCGCCGCCTTCTGAGGAGCGGCTTGCCTCTCATTGCCAGCCTGGAACATATCCTTATCTCTATGCTGGGCATCTCCTCATCACGATGCCAATCTTAGGGATTCCCTTATTTTTTGAGGGCGAATCCCGAAGACTGTCATCGCCTTTTGGCGTGGCAATCTTAGGGATAGGGGTACGTTCGAGGCTGGTAATCTAGGAAGCCTTCCCCCCTCCCCCTGGTGCGCGCCGCCGGAGTGCGGTCGCGCCGTCGCCGCCTCTGCCCGGGCGCGCCGCCTCGACCTGGCCGGGAGGGAGGGGAGGAGCCCGACGGGTTCCAGAAGGAGGGGGGTCGACCCCCCTCGGTCGCTGGAGGTCGGCGTTCTCGGACTCCCCTGTTTCCAGTCTGCCTGAGGCGGCTTCCTCCTCCGACGATCGGCTCGTGCTCCCTCCTCCTTCCTCTTCGGGGGGGGGGCGGGGTGCCAAGATGTCTTCGCCCACTCCTGCCGGACGATGGGTAACTCAGGGGGGGTTGGGCCAGCCCCCTCCGCTCAACACCGTGTCCGGGGGCTGGAGAGGGGGCTGAAGTGAGGGTGGTGGGTGAACCCGCATCTTGATTCGTCTGCTCTGGACACCTCCAGGTGACCGGGGAGGCACGGGTAAATGTACGGGCCGCCGCATTCGGTCGCTTCGATTCGGCCGGCTTCTGCGCCGCCCGCGCCGCTCTGGGGCGCTCTCTCGGTCCGGCCAGTCCGGTCGGCTTCGGTTTTGTTGCCGCTTCGGTCAGTTTTATCGCTTCGCGCATCGCGGCCCGGGCCAGAGAGAATTGGAGAGGCGCCCTTCTCCAGCGCGATGACCGCCCCCACGCCGCGGCACCTCGCCTCGGGCGCGCCTTAGGCGCGCCTTGGGCGCGCCTTGGGCGGCGGCTGCACCGAGGAGGAGGAGGAGGAGGAGGAGGAGGAGTCTTTCTGTCTGTCTGTGAGCGGCTGTGGGACGAGAGATCAGAATGACTGCTCCACTGACTGGTTTCGTGCCTCTGGAAGCTCAAGCTGCACCTACACGAGGGACCGAGCAGGCCGAAGGGACCGACCGAAGGGGCCGAACAGGAGGAGGCCACGAGCGACGGGCAGGGGCCACGAAAGGCGAGGGGCGAAGAGGGAGGCGAAAAGGAGCAGGGGGCCATCCTAAGCGTGCGTCCGCCGTCCGCACCCTTCGAGAGTGCGTCACACTGCCAGGTGCACGAGGCCGCACTGCCGAAGCTCAATGGCTACGGCGCGGTGCCCGCGCCCTCCGAACCCGAACTCTCTAGAGCCAGGCCTCAAAAATGATTCCATCTTCATCCTCGGCCTCTGAATTTGTCTCTGGGGCGCCTGCAACACTCAGGCGTCCTTCAGCACATCGATCCAGGCCGAGATCTCGTCCTCGAGGTACCCACTCGGCGCTGCGCCCACCGTCGTCACTACTCCCATCGAGCGGAACGCTTCCATCACCTGCACCTCGAGGTCCACACGGTCCAGCGCGAACACCACCTTCAGCATGTCGGGCTGTTTGCAGCTCTCCAGGCGGCACAGGCGAACGTAGGTGGGAGGCGCCTCCTCCATCTCGGCCAGTAGTGCGACCAGGACGTCTTTGAGCCTCTTGCCGATCTCCTCGTTCGCCAGCGCCTCGATCATGGCGCAGAAGACCGCGGGCGCTGGAGGGCCCAGGCCGCGGAGTCCCTCCATCATCCTGTCGGCCTCCTGGTCGAACTGGCGGGCCGCTGCTCCGTCCGTGTCCTTCGCCGCCTTGGCCTGGTCCTTCAGCCTGCTGACCTCCGCGCGCTTCTGGTTCGCCACCTGCGCGAAGTCCTGGCCCTCCTGCTGCATCGCCTTGATCACTGGCGACTTGTCCTCCAGGATCGCTGTGCGCGTGGTGATGCCCCACATCGCTCGAGACCTCTGCGCCAGCTGCGACACCAGCATGGAGAGGTGCAGGAGGAGGTCCTTGAGGCCTGCGTCCTTCGTCGTGAGCTTGCGCTCCTTGGCCTCCGCGCGGCGCCGTCCGCCACGACGTGTCTTCGGCTTCACTGCGGCGCCCTCCAAGCCCGCATCGCCCCGCGCCAGCCTGGTGCCCTTGCTGTCCTTCTGGCTCTTGCGACTGTCGCTGTCGGCGGGCTTGGACTGCGCTCCACCAGTCCGCGAGCTGGCCGAGGAGGCCGCCACCTGCGGGCGCCAGCGGCCCTTCTTCTCGACCTCCATCACGAGCAGTTGCACCACCTGCAGGAACGGGTGCAGCGCGGGCAGTCGCACCTCCAGCGGCAGCGGGGACGAACAGGCGGGCCGCTGTGCGCAAGTCAGAGCCCCGCAGGCGAGCCTCCCGCGGAGGCAGATCACGGCGTCTCGGCCTCGGGTCAACTGGGGCTGGTCGAGGTTGTACAATCGAAATAGAACGGCCCTCCTGCGTCGGCGGCAGGTGTGAGCGGAGATGACTACGGAGCAGCTCGTACGAGGGGAACTCTGCGCCACACAATGCACATTCACGAACGTTCGTATCTGTGAACTCGTAGGGGTACGCCGTGTTGTGCATGATACATCTGCCAGCGTGCCACGCGCGTGCAAGGTGCCGTACCGTCTCCGTTCTTGTCTGGAATATTGTGCCACAGTTGATACATGCGTTGCTCGGTGTGAGAGCGTGGAATATACTGTGCCCCCCATGACCAGGCTGTCTAGATTGACAAACATGTGCCACCAGTGCTGCGCGCGAACGGAACGAGCAACCACATATGGGGCCTTCGGGATCTCCTCGAATTTGACACGTGAGCTTCTGGGCCTCTGGGTCCTCCCAGCTGTTTTCATCATCCAGGGCTGTGGGTACCGATGCCACGATCGCTCCAGGCGGTGCCCACTGTACAGCAGCAAAGGCGCTCCGCAAGCACCTTACGTCAAGGGAGACACAGAGGCCGTTCACCTCCTCGTCCCACAGCAGGTCCCTCAGCGAGCGGCTCTCCCAGACCAGCGAAAAGTACTCCGCCTCTGGGTGGTCGCAGAGGGCCTCGAGATCGCGTCGCAGCTGACGCGCCCAAGGATGAATAACAGCATCAGAATTGAACTGCCCAGATTCCACTAGCGTCGGTGGGCATCTGTACTCACTAGTCAGCTCCCACTTCATTTCCCCGAAGAAGACGCCCAGGACGTGGCTATGTTGTCGAGGGCTGCGCACAATAGCCTGCCACATGCGGAGGCGCTGGACCAGCGCCTCCAGGCTGAACGGGACGAGGCTCCAGAACCTGTAGACTTCTCTAGTAGTCATCACCTTCACGTGATCGTTATGCATGTGAGACGTTCCCCCCATCATCGACCCCAACTTGCGTGACAAAGAACTGCAAATTTGGCGAGCCTCCGAGTCGGTCCAGCAGTAGGCCGTGGTGCCCGACAAGGCCGCCCCCGACACCAGGCTGATGAACATGAGGCGCTTGACGCGCTTGGGGGCGGAGGAGTACCAGAAGCCCTGCACCATCATCCAGCCCTTGTTGATCGCCGCCAGGCGCATGGCCAGCTCCGTGCGTTGGAGTTCACCGCGTTGAACCAGCCCCCCAGGTGCTTGAGCTCGTAGCCGCTGCGGCACCCACTCCTGGCCAGGGCCTGTATGGTCTGGCGGACCAGCTGCCGCGAACCCAACGAGACAACTACGTCCTGCTTCGCTCGGTTCTGGCCGTACTGCCGCGCAGCAAGCGCAGCGTCGAGACCTGCATCGTTCCGCTGGGAGCACCGCTCAACCTCCAGGGCCGTGCGCGCGGTGGGCGGGACGAGCTGCGTTTTGAAGATGTCATCCATGAAGCACCCCAGGCTCGCGTCAATCGTGGGCAGGCGGTCATCGAAGTTGATCATCATCGCCTCGCCAGTGGCCGCCTGGTCCACGAGGGCCCACTTCTGGACCGCGATGTGGTAGTTGCTCATGAAGAGTTCGGGCTCGGAGGTGTCGCCCATGAAGCCCCCCGAGCCGCTGGCGATCGCCACCTCGTGGTCCGAACCCGAGATGACCACCGTCAGCGACTGGCGCCTGAGCCTGGAGATCGTCGTCACGTAGTCCACGTCATCCTCCTCGACCTCCTCGGCGGCCGTCTCCAGTCGGAGGCGGACGCCATGCTCGATCTGGTCCTTGTCGCCGCAGCCGAATGCATTGGTCGCATCGAAGCTCTTGTGCAGCATGGGTTGCCCAGCTTGGTGGCCCTTCCACGCCACGATTCGGGTGGCCAGCATCAAGTGTTCGCGCCGGCGGGCGCGAGCCGCGAAGGCCCATTCGGGAGGGCGAAAGGCACCTCCTCGCAGGAGACCTCCACGAACGACTGCACGCCACCAGCTGCACATGCAGTGGACCAAGCGTCGGCCGCCTGGGCCTGGCTTGCCATTCTTCTTGTCGGGGGCGAGGCCGAACGACATGGACGCCTGCTGCGGCAGCTGCCGCACACGGCGTGCGTGGAGGACGAGGCGGAACAAGCGACGGCGGGGCTCGCCGTACTGCTCAAGGTGGGGCAGCTGGTCCCGCGCGTACGGGTCGGGCCCCTGGGGATTCTCCTCGAAGATGGCGGCTGGGCGGGACCCCAAGCCCGCCGTTTGCTTCACATAGTTGGCGGGGGCGCTGATCCATGCTGGGGCGACCAGCATCTTGAAAATCTCCGACGGGCAGGACCACGAAGGGGCAAACTTTCCAATCTTCGTGCGTCGCAGCGCCTTCAGGGTCATCCCGAAGTCCTGCTGCGCCTTCTTCAGCGTCGCCTGGGACACCTCGTAGTTGTCAGGGTGAGCGTACTCGTCGGTATCCCTGAGCGCCTGGAAGTGGGCGTCGGTGAGATTGTGGCAGACGGGGACAGTCACAGGGCGGCCCGCGAGTCCTCCTGCCAGCGCAGGCTGGGCCAAGTACTCGATCCACTCGTCGCCCGTGGGGTTGCAGGACGCGTGCGCACGGTAGTTGCGGTTCTTGACCCCTATGCCTGTGCGCGCCAACGTCCTCGCCAGCCGTGGGACCGCGTGCATGTCGCGGGCCCGCCACGCCTGTCTGAGCTCTATCTCCTGGTGCAGCTGCCGCTCTCGGTTGCGCCGCCTGCGGAGCGAATGCAGGGCGCGCGTGTAGCTGCGGATGGCGTCATCCAGGCTGCGCATCTCGGTCTGCATCGGGTCGCGCCGCGCCTGCTCGAGGTCAGCCGCCTTGGCCTGCTCCAGCAGGCCGCGCCTCCGCTTGAGGTACTCCCACTTCCGCTCCTCCAGCTCGTGCTCGTAGTCAGGACGCCTCTGTTGCTGAGAGAAGTGCTTCAGCGCAACCTGCCGCAGCGTGGCCATCGTGAGGGTGGTGTGGCCGTTCGCGGTCGGGCGGGACTCCAGGATGTCTAGGGACCTCTCCACTTCAAGTAGTGCATTGTGGGCCTGGGGGAGGAGGAGGAGGAGGAGGAGGAGGAGGAGGGGGAGGAGGGGGAGGAGGGGGAGGGGGAGGAGGAGCGCGGAGATGGGGTGCGATGCGCGGAGTCCGGCGATCCAGGCTTCGGGCCCCTGGGCCGGCAGAGAGCGGCTCGAGGTGAGAAGTTGGCCCCGGGGAGGGGGGCCGAGAAGTCCCGGGGGCCCGCGCATCGAGGGAGGGAGGGAGCGGATGGGAAGGAGGGGAGGAAGGGAGGCAGGCAGGGAGGGAGGGAGGGAGGAGGGGGAGGGAGGAAGAGGGGGAGGGAGAGGAAAAGGAATGGAGGAGGAGGAGGAGGAGGAGGAGGAGGAGGAAGAGGAGGAGGAGGTCCAGTGTAAACCCAAGAGTCATCAACGATGTTGGAATTAACCCTCCCTTCAAGCTCCCTCTTAGGTCCCCGCAACGTTTCATTTCCATTGAGGGAACTGCCTCGTTGGAAGACAACCGTTTGAAGACCCTGAAATATGCCAAAACATTGTTCTCGGGATTTCAGCGCCATGGATCAAGCTGACTGCTGCGTCTTGACGATCCGGAATCGTGCCAGAACGCCATTTTTGAGACTAACACCGCGAACCAACATAACTGTTGAACCCGCATAATCCTGAATCCTTCCAAAGCACCATTTCTGGTACATTGCTCATGGGAATCCGTGAAACTCTTGCAAATGTCAAAAAAGAATGTGCGCGACGCTTAGGCGAGAACCACATTTTGAAAACCACCCGCCGTCAAGGCGTGAATCTATTGCAAGTGTTTGAAACGAATGTGCGCGGAGCTAAAGCGAGAGCCACAGTTTGAAAGCGACCCCCCCTCAATCAGTGAAGCTCTGGCAATTATTCAATCGCTTCGCTCATTCCGCCGGCACTGGAGCGCGATTTGGGGCCTCTTGGGGCCGTCTTGGGGGCCTCTTGGGGGCTTCTTGGGAGCGTCTTGGGGCTCCTTGGCGGCGTCTTGGGCTCCCCTGGGGCCTCTTGGGGGGCTCTTGGGGGCCCCTTGGGGCGGAAGGGGGGGTTGTCGATTGCAGCCACCCCCTCGGAGGCCACGGTCCTCGTGAGGGGTGGCGAAAAATAGCCTCCCCCCTGGGGATCGCCTGGGACCCGGCCGGGACCCGACCGGGGGTCAGCTGGGGTACTTTTCGTCCGGGGGCCCCAGGGGCCGCCCCGCGCGCGCGAACTAGAAATATTGTTCAGTAGTTACCGGAGATCTTAGCACGCCTCTGGCCCGTTGGGCCGTCGAATTTGAGACGAATGTGCGCGGCGTTAGGGCGAGAGCCACATTTTGCAAACGACCCGCCCTCGATCTGTGAAACTCCTTGCCATGTTTTAGAACGAATGTGCGCGGCGCTAAGGCGAGAGCCACATTTTGAAAACGACCCGCCCTCAATCCGTCAAACTCTTGCAATGCTTTAAAACGAATGTGCGCGGCGCTAAGGCGAGAGCCACATTCTGAAAACCACCCGCCCTCCATCTGTAAAACTGTTGCCACTTCTTAAGCTTCAGCGGCCTACATGGTGAGGATGTCTCATGCGAACCGTCCAGCCCGCCCAAAAAAATGGCCTCGGGGTGCGACAGGGAGAAGTTATTGATAAGGAAAAGGAATGGAGGAGGAGGCGGAGGAGGAGGAGGAGAAGGGGGAGGAGGAGGAGGAGGATGCGGAGGAAGAGGAGGAGGAGGAGGAGAAGAGGAGGAGGAGAAGAGGAGGAGAAGAGGAGGAGGATGATGAGGAGGAGGAGCAAGAAGAGGAGGAGGAGGATGAGGAGGAGGAGGAGGAGGCCCGCGAAGGCTCAGAAGGAGGAGGATGCCCGCGAAGGCTCAGAAGGAGGAGGAGGAGGAGGAGGACGGCCAGCGTGCGTGCTCGTGGCCGCCCCATCCCCTCGCCCCTCCTTCGTCCTTCGTCCTCCCCTCTCCCCCTGCGCCGTCGCCTCCCCGTTCCCACCCTCTCCCTCGTTCCCTCCCCTTCCCGTCCCTTTCCCCGCCGTTTCCAGTGGTTCCCGCCGCCTCTGCTCGATCACTGTTTGCTTGGCCGTGGGGCGTTGGGTCCAACGAAAAGTCCCTTTCCCCGCCCCCTCCTCCCCTCTCCCCCTGCGCCTTCGCTTCCCCGGCCCCGTCCTCTCCCCCTCCCCCTCCCCTCCCCCGCGCCCTTGCCTCTCTGCTCCTGCGCCTGCACCTCCCCGTCCTGTCCCTCGCCCTCGCCATCGCCCCTCCCCCTCCCTTCCGCCGTCCCCTTCCCCCTCCGACCCCCCCTCTCCGCCTCCACCTCGCCTCTCCACCCCTCCCCGCCTCGCAGGAGGAGGGCACGTTCCAGCGCCCGATGTACGCGGGCAACGCCATCGCGACGGTCAAGAGTAGCGATTCTGTGAAGGTGTTTCCCTTTCCCTCCTCCCCTTCTCCCCTGCTCCCATTCTCCCTCCCCTTCCGTCCCCTCCCTCCTCCCTCCCCTCCCTTTCTGCCCCCTCATTGCCTCTCTTTCCCTCTCGTTCCCATTCCTCCCTTCCTCCCCTGCCCACTTGCTTCCTCCCCTCCTTTCGTCTTGCTTACGGGCAGCTTGAGACGAGCGCGTGTGTAGGGAATCGCGCACAGTAGAAAAAAAAAACAGTGCGTGTGATGACCCTCCGTCAGAGAAGGCGCGTGTTGGGTCAGCAGCCCTTGGTTCACCATAGAAAGGAAAGAGATAAGGAAGGGGGACTTAATGGCTCAAGCATGCCTCGCACGCCGCCCCAGTCATTGCACCCTCCAACCTGGGCAGCCAGAGCGTCCGCCTGGTGTGATGCGGTCACGCGCGCCTAGGGCATCCCGTCGTTCGAGGTTTGCAATCACTTCGTTCGACATCCTAGTACATGTCGCTATGACAACATAGTGATCACCGTGTTGCGGAAGAACTGCATGCAAACAGGCACTGACCAGTGTCGATTCGTTCACCGTGGTGGCGCCTGACACTGTGCATTGATACGGCATGGCTTGTCAATTGTTGTCTCGAGCTGCGTGTCTGCGAACAAGGCTGACAAGGGACAACGTCTTTTACCCTAGCCATCCGCCAGATCGTGGTCAACGTGCGCACACTATGTAGCTTCCGCTCCAGCCAGGACGTTGTCAGCGATGTCCTGAACATAATTCGGATGGGAACGGATTGAATGGATCCATGTGTCAATTACAATGAGGAAGCAACACGCGAAACCAACGTATATCAGCACGCAGGCACAGCATGCGAACGTTGGGGAAACGCAACGCAAAAGCGCGCGGAGTCTTCAAGCACACTTTGCTGAACAAGCCACCACGCATGCGCACGATCGTGATCGCTGGTGCATCACAACAGTGGAGTGTACTCTCATCACTCTAGCCGTGCGCAGCTGATGCTTCGTAATCGATTGGTGAACTTCTCTCGTGAACACAACTCTTTGGCACAGGGCAAGCGTCGTCTCAACCAGAATATCGCTCCGTTGCAGCACACTGCAACGTGCTGGCCTGAAGGCGCCGCGCCTCTCAAAGCACCAACTCTGGGTGTGATCTCATAGTGGAACATGCGAGCGTGCAAACACGTTAGTACTGAGCAGGCGCACTAGCTGTCGCGTGACACTTCGAGTCTCGATCCTCTCCTGAATTTGTACGGCTCGCTCGACCCGACATGGACACGGTGAATGCGCCTGCGGTGGAACAAATCAACTCCTCCTCCTCCTCCTCCTCCTCCTCCTCCTCTTCCTCCTCCTCCTCCTACCCCTCCCATTCCTCCTCCCCCCCTTCCACCCCTCTCCCCCTCCTCCTCCACCCCGCCTTCCTGGAGGTGCTCACCTTCCGGCCGACCGCGTTCGAGCCCGCCGCCGCGGCAGCTTCGCCCGCGCCCGTGGAGCAGGTGGCGGCCGCCGCGTACGAGAGCGCCGGCATCGAGTGGACCTCTGGCGCGCACCATCACCTCTTGCGCTCGCACCCCTCGTCCTCGCCCTCTTTTGCCTCCTGCTGCAGCCGAAGCGGAAGGGGAGGCAGGCGGGCCAAGCAGCGTCAGCAGTGGCAGCAGCAGCAGCAGCGGCAGCGGCAGCACCGGCGCAAGCACGCAAGCAGCAGCAGCAGCAACAGCAGCAGCGGCGGCAGCTGCAGCAGCAGCAGAGGTCGTCTCGTCATGTTCTGATCCTCCTTTTCCTCCTTCCAGTTGCCCTATTGTCCTCGCTCTTCCCGTCGTGCTCTTTATCTCCTTGCTACTCCTCGGGGCGTCCTCCCTCCCTTCCTCCCTTCTATGGGTGGGGGACGTTTGTCATTATTCGACCCCCACTTCACCTTGCCAGCGCGCCTGAAATTGTACGTAGGTCGCTCCACCCTGAGTTCGTCCTTCTTGGCCAGCAGGCACCGTTACCCCTCGCGAGGGGTACCTAGAGTTGGAGTTCACCCTGGCTGAGGGGGGGGCCCCCACCTTGACGCCTCTCCTCCCTCGCCCCCACACGAAAGCGAACCCCAGCGTGTTCGCGCTGCTCGACGCCTTGGCCCCAGACTTTCGCAGTGCCGTGCCGAGGGTCTGTTCTGTTTTTGCAATCGGCCGTGCGCCAGCCGTGAGCCCGAGGCACGCGCCTTAATTGCTGGGCGGCGTCAGGACCCGCGGTCTGGATCTCTGCGACCTGCCCTGCCCC